TGAAAACCAGAAAAAATTTTTGCAGAAAAAAATTCACGTGATTAATATTATTTATATATGAATATATATATTTTTTAAAAGAACAAATAAATTAAGATTTGTGGCTTAAATCATGACATATTTATTTATACTAATATTAAAAAAAGAATTTTTTTTTTCTTTGCATGAAAAATAAGTAATGAGAGAGAGAAATATTTAAAAATAATTTAATAAATTTTAATAAATTTAAGTTTAATAAATATTAAAATTTTATTAAATTTAAAATTGTTAAAAATAAATTAAATATTCTTGAATACTATTTTATAATAGTTAATTATTAATAATAATAAAAATTTTATATAAAAAATTAATAATATAAAATAATTTTTATAGTTTAAAATTTATATTTATAAATAATTAATTTAATTTTAATAAGTTTAAATTTAAATAAATAATATAAATTTAATAATTTATTATTATAATTTTTAACTTAAATATTAAAATTTATAATATTTATTTAAGTTTAAAATATTAAATTAAATTAATTTTTCTTAAAATATTTTATAGTAATTTTGTAATTAAAATAATTTTTTAGAAAAAGTCTAAATAAATATAAAAAATATATATTAAATTATAACTTATAAATTTTATTTTGATAAAAATAAAAATTATTTCTTAATAAAATTATAAATTTAATATAAAATTTTATTTTAATTTTTATTATATTTTTTAATAAAATTAATTTTCTAATAAATTAATAAATTTTATTAAAAATAAATATTAATTTTTACTTTTATATTTAATTATATTATATATTATTAATTTAATTTTATAATTTAGTAATATTTAATAAATTTTATATTAAAAATTTAATAATATATTATTTTAATAAAGTTATTTTTTATTTATATTTTAAATTTATTAATTAATTATATTTTATTTGATAATAAATAATATATAATTTTATAAAAAAATAAAAAGCTTTTAAAAAATATAAAAATAACTAAAAATAATAATAATAAAGAATTAATTTTATTAATAAATTAAAAGTTTTCTCTATATTAAAGTTTATAATTTTATTAAAAAATAATTTTTATTTTTATAGTTATAATTTAATTTCAAGTTATTCTAATTATAAAGTTATTACAAAATTATTTTTTAATTAAATTTTATTTTTAATTAATTAAAATTTTTATAATAACTTTATAATAAAAATAATTCTTTTAAAAAAATCTAAAAAAATATATATTAAATTATAATTTATAAACTATATTTTAATATAAAAATAAAAATTAATTATTAATAAATTTATAATATTTAATATAAAATAAATTTAATTTTTATTATATTTTATTAATAAAATTAATTTTTTAATATATTATCTTATTTTTAATTATTGTTATAAATATATTTTAATTATTATTTTATTTATTTATAATATTAAAATTTTAAAATATATAAGTATATTATTTTATATTTAATAAAAATATATTTTAAAGTTTATAAAAGATTAAATTAGTAATTTTTATAATATTAAATATTAAATTTTAATAATTTAATTAAATTATTCATTATATATATTATAATAATTTTAATTAAATTTTATATATATAAAATTAATCTGAATATTTTTATATTTTAATTTTTATATTTAGATTGAATTTGAATTTCTTTTAAAATTTAATTTAATTTAATTTTTTAGAGTATTATAATAAAATAAATAAAATTATTTTTTAGATTATTTTAAAAATTAAATTTTTATTTTATATTTATTTCAAATTAAAAATTCTTATTTTAAAAATGAGTCAAAATATTTAATTTTATAATTATTCAGAAAATTTTTATATTAAAAAAATTTTATTTTATTATAAGATTTTTTTAATAATAAATATTTTAGCTTATTTTTAAAATAAGAAGTTTTTAAAATAATATTTATATTATTATAATATTCAAATTATAAGATTTACTAAGATAATATTAATATTAAGAGCAAATTAATTTTATAAATTTAAAAGATAATTTTAATTATATTAAAAGAAAATCATATATAAAGTAATTTACAGAAGAAATATAATATAAAAAGATTTATGAAAAAATTCTAGTATCTCTAATATTAATTAAATATATCTGATTTTTATACTCATTTTAAAACTAATATATTAATAATACTTTACTTTAAATATTACTTTGAATATATATCAAATATCTTTAAAAATTTTCTAATACAACCAAGTATATCTGACAATTTTTAAATGCCTATTAATCATTCTAATATATTATATGCTTTCTGAGAATAGAAAATTGACATTAATATATTAATACATAACCTAGAGAATATTTCAAAAAGCCTAAAAAATATATAGAGAAATATCTCTTAGAACCATAGGAATTTTTTTAAAAATATGAATTTATAGAGAGAAATTTTATAAGTGTTATATATACTTGGAACCAAACTAGCAGGTGTGTTTAAAGAAAATTTATCTAGTTCATGCATTAGAGAGGTGCATTAGAGAGGTCTTTCTGTATTAATGTTGCCATTCTAAAGAAATTAAATGATCTACATGAATAATTTTAATTAGTGAAATTTTAAGTCTAAATATTTTTGTTATCAGGGAGGATTAAAGCATATCGACCTTATAAAAATTGGTACCAAATTCGTTTAATTATTAGAACTCGAAGCAACAAATAAATGCTGGTAAGGAAATAATTGGAATATTTTTGCTAGCATTTATTTGACCTAATAATTATATGTAGATAGTTCTCATCAAGAAGCACATTTTTTTATTAGGTCAATCCACTTCAACCCCCATAACAAAACTATTAGTTAAAATTTCATTAATTAAAAATATTAATGTATATCACTCAATTTCTTTAGAATGGAGCATTAATATTTTTTTAGACATTCTCTAGGTTATCAGCTTCAAAATGAGTATAGGAACCAGGTATATTTAGTCGATGTTAGAGGCTTGTCGTGTTGCATTTCTTCTTTGAGCCATTGTACTATAGAAAACGCTACGAATTCAATCTATTTCAGAAAATCACAGTGGCTCATTTATGAAATCGTACGCAGAAAAAAAGGGGAGATTCAAATATCTAGCAATTGAAGAGTTATCTACGACCAGTGTTAAAAAATACAATATACATTATTAAAATATACTAATAATCTGTATTTCTTCCCTTGTATCATATTCTTAATCCTTTGGCATAAACTCAATTAACTTTCGCAAAAATCGATTTCCGTATCATTTTTGGCGAAGTGTGTATATATGGGGGCCTTTTATAAGTGAAATTCGAGGTATTGGGATAAAAAATCGTTTAATATCGTTGTTGATGAGGAAAACATATAATTAAAAAAGTTAAGTTGTAAATATTTAACTTTCAAGGCCTTACGTTCGCTATGAATTCGGTCATATTTACATGAAAAGAAGATTAAAATTATTTTCTATTTTACAAAGATTTTTTATTCTGTAATTTTTCACAAATAATTGATAAGAAAATGCAAATATGTTAATGGTTTAAGTTATTATTTATGTTCGTGTTAAAAATAGCGACACGTCTAGTTCAAATAAAAATGATATTAATGGTATAAATCAAATTTATTGAAATTGGTTAAGATTTAAATTTATGAAATTGTCTGTTTTTGAGCTACTAATTCATAATCACAGTCTGCTAGTCAAATTTGCGTTCATGAAGTATGAAGAATTTTCATATAATGCGATTGCTAATTATATAGAGCACCTTATTTTCTTAGAATGCAAGGTTACTTGGTCATTTAGCTTTATCAATGCTGCGGTATATTATTCAATAATATGTCAAAAAAGTTGGTGTTAGCCACAAAATTATCGTGTGATTACACACATGTTTATAAAAAACTTCGCTTTGTATATTAACAATATTAAAAAAATTTACATATTGTCAGTCTCATTTAGCTTTAGTATATGTCATAATGCATTTTATTGAACTATTGAAAATCGTATTTACAGGGTTTTATGAATCGAAAAACAAAATGATTTTTTTTTTCGGAAAGTATTAAATTAATTCTTACTACCATGTATCACATGAAAAATTTAATGCACATTAGCATTAGACATATTTTTTTTAATGTAAATCTTCTGAAAATCAAGCAATCATTCGACATTAATTAGAATACAAGTATAACAAAAATAAAAATTAAAAATTATTTAAAAGAAGTTTGTATCAGGGATATTTTGTTCTATTATCATAATATTATTTAAAGAGGTTAAAAAGGACATTTAACTTTACTAAAATGTATTAAAAAGAATTAAAATTCGAGTTCTAATTTTCTAGCAAATCTTATCCATTCTTTGCTCATTATTTATTTCAATGCCATGCGGGTGACTTAATAATAAATAGCGAAATGAAGTTACTCGGTAAAAAAAATTAAGTTCATTAGAAGTTGACACTTTTAATAAAAATTTAACGATCAACCCACTTCTCCCACTGGGACGTTCGCTCTTGATGTATTTGTAATGCTTCAGTAATTTCGGTAGTTAAATAAGGCGAAAACACCACCACTCGACAAAATTATTTTCTATATACCATTAAGTAACTCCTTTATTCTGAAAAGATCTTTTTAATTGCTTTGCCTTTTTTCTCTACGAATAATATATGTAGCAATAATATTGTAGTGTATTTGTTTATAAACAATGCCAGATTATTCTTTTCCGGTTATGCTTTACATTCTCTTAGGAATTCTATCTAGCATTTTATCATTCTCTCTTTTAATCATAATATTAAGATCAAAACCATATTTTGGCAAATGGACACTTTTTCAATTTTGTTTATGTGGACTAATGCTAAATATTACTGGTTTGCCTGCGATATTAATCTATGGAAATTCATTACCCGATCACGCCACTAGTCCAATATGTATTCTACAATATCATATCGGAAATTTATTTTTTTTTCAATATTTAGTATTGCCAGTTGTTCTAATATTTTATCTATGGTGGGCCTTATTCAATAAGGATGAACAAATTGAAGAAAGATACCTAATTAAAATGACGGTAACGGTCTGGATGTTGGGATTTGGGTTGCAAGTGATTCGGATATTTCAGAGGCGAAATGAAAATAATTGGGGGATTGTTGCGAATCGATTATTCTGTCAAGCGGATCCAAAACCTATCGAATTTTACGGTTGGGTAATTCTGGAAATTATCCTATTGATGATTACGAGTCTATTAGCAAGTATGTGAATAATGGATTTTTTGCTCTATTTTCTATTTATTCATTTGCTGATAGATCATTAATCTTTTCTTATCATTATTATTTATTATTTTATAGTACATTCAATTATATTATTATTTTCAAGTTGGCGGCAACATTCACGAAGACAAAATCGTGGTACAGCGATAAAATTCGGGAAAACGATTCGACTTTCAATATCAAGTTTTCTATATGTGATATTTATTTCCAGCGTACTCATATCAAAGATAGTAACGAAAAATGGAACAGATTTAAATAAGATAACGGCATCCCAATTCGCAATTTGTGTCAACGGAATCTGTATTTTTCTGATATTTGCGTTCACGAAGTCAGCTACTCATGTTGCTCCCTGTTGTTATTATGTCTCCTTAGACTCGCATAAATTACGGAAATCGAGAGCAGGAACGAACAGTAAATACTATTCTTCACCTTCGGCTGTCGACAAACATTCTTTTCATTCCTCGACACATCTTGTGGAATACAACCACGAATTAGATTCGATAGACTATGCTAAATTTAATAATGCTAAAATCAATAAGACTGACTTAATTGGCAAACCGAAAGAAATTTACTCAGTTAAGAATATAATAAAGAAAGATAAAATCGCATTTAATAATTATATTGAAAGTTTACTAGAAAATAGAAGTAGAAACGAAAGCAGTAGAGACAATACTTTAACAAATAGTTATAATGAAGATGCTGATATCAAAAATAATCACATTGACGATAATAACGACAACAACAACGATAATAACAATTCAAGAGACATGATTTGTAATCAGAATCAAGACCAGCATCAGCATCCAAATGAAAGTATTCGCGATAGTGTTTTCGGATTTATTTCTGCGTACGAATATTAATGATTAGGAGGATACTTATGTATATTAGTAACTAAAAAATAATAAATAGATTACGTACATGTATTGTAATTTTAATATTAATGAAAGTATTTAATACAGAGACTCAAATTAATTAAATTTGGACCACATGTATAATAATTTGTTTTTTTAAAAGCGAGCATTAGATGAAACTTTAATGAATCAATAATAATTATAATCTTCTTTGCTGACATCTAAAAAAATCATTTTTCACTATGTGTTACAGTCTAAAAGAAAGAATTCAAAATTTATAGATTGCAAACGTTTAGTGTAATGTAAAGCACGAATTAGAATTAAAAAAAAAGAAAGTTCGATTTAAACATTAACCCGAAGACGTGTCCAAAAAAGCAAGCTTTGAATTTGAGAAAAGATTTATTTTTGTTCTATGAAAAATGCATTGAAAATCCTAACTTACAGTATGTTTATCCCGTCAAATTTTTTTTCGTTATCTGATTTAATTTATTATTATGAACTAAATAATCATTATCGTCATTTATAGTTCATTTTATTATATTTATAATTCATTTTCACGCTGGCAGAAACATTGAATAGAATCACCTATATTTACCATTACATAAGGATATTACTTTAGCTTCGTTGATTCCCGAGATTCGTAAAGAAATTTTCCTTAGAATTTAACTATCTTTTTCAGATTCACTAGATATTTTCTCCTTTCACATATAATAGAAGATTTCTTGTTTTTTAATAGGTTAGCCAAAGCTACTGTGCCATTTTTCTTATGATTCTGTCCGAACATAAAGTACCAATCATTGAAGGTTACGTATTATCTCCTTCCTATAATAGCGTCATGATTTATGAATGATGGTCATGCGCAGAATTTCACGGATTCAGAGGCCGTGTGGCATATAAATTACTTGCATTTGATAGTTAATATAAGCTTCTATATTTATCGAGTCAGATAACCACTATGTACATGTTCTATCAAATCTCGCGTGAGTCAAAGCAAACCCAAATGCATACTAATCAAATTTCGCGTGGCGTGGCTTCAATAATAATGCATGCACAAATCGCATCATCTATGACCATTCAATTTATCATTCAATGAAAAGATACGTTAGTTTTGATTTATGCATACTGCCAAAATTGACATTTCGTACGCTCGTTACGCAGTTTGAGGCACAAAGTTAATACATGTAAATTGAATTTATTATCGTTATTGTTTCATTCAGTGCCATATCATATACATCTAAGTGT